GGGGGGCTGCTCTGACGTCACAGAAGCCCGGGGGCGGGGCCTCCGAAACTGACGTGGGAGTCCTCGTGGGTCCAATTCCAGTTCGGGAGGATAATGATTAAGGGGCGGGAACCTCTCACCCTTCAGGAGCGAGAGGAGGAAGCCAGCACCGAGCTTCCTCATGGCCCAGACGGTCTGCCCGCGTTCCCCGGACCAAAGCGGCCTCTAACGGGCCAAGCCAGAGAGCGCAGCGGCTGCGGCCAGCAGAGGGGAGCCGGGGGGGCTGCTCTGACGTCACAGAAGCCCGGGGGCGGGGCCTCCGAAACTGACGTGGGAGTCCTCGTGGGTCCAATTCCAGTTCGGGAGGATAATGATTAAGGTACCACTGACGCTGTATCTGCTTTTTTTTTTTTAAGCACAAAACCCAAACATTTATTAGGCCTCTACTCATTGCAGGTGCTAGGCACTTTTTTTTAGGTGCCTGAGATACATCAGTGATAAAATGGTCCCTGTCCACAGGCGTGAATATAAATGTCTCCAGGAACAGCACCGAAGGAGAAAACTCCCCTTTAGGCGCCTGTAGGTTTCATTTTCAGTTATCACAGTGAGTGCCTCCAACACAGATCGCAATTGTTTGTTTACATGTCTGGGTTCCCTTCCTGGACCGGGTGTCATAACTTACTCTTCTGGCACATGGCCGGCATTCAGTAAATGGCAGTAAAATGAACCAAGGAAACTGGACTGCCCAACAGGCTGTCGACGTCTAATGTCTGAGGGAGATTGTGCTTATCTTGGTCTCAGAGGAAAATCGGTGTGTTTTTTCCCCCAAATATCTTTTTTAAAAAATTTATAGAATTTATTGGGGTGACACTGGTTAATAAAATTAGATAGGTTCCAAGTATACAATTCTATAATATATCACCTGTATATTGTATTATATGTTCACTACCCCAAGTTAAGTCTCTTTTGTCACCATTTACCCACCCTTTACCTTCTGCGCCCCCTTTCCCTCTTGTATCACCATACTGTTGTCTGCTTTCCCCCCCTTAATCCCCTTGCTTGCCTTTTTCACTCAGCCCCCAACCCCCTTCCTTCTGACAGCTGTCAGTCTGAACTCTGTATCTATAAGTCTGTTTCAATTTTTTAATTTATTTTGTTTATTAGATTCTACATATAAGTGAGATTATATGGTATTTGTCTTTCTCTGACCGGCTTATTTCACTTAGCATAATACTCTCCAGGCCCATCCATGCTATTGAAAAAGGTAAGATTTCCTTCTCTTTTTTTTTGTTAATCTTTACCAGAGGGTATTTTTTCCATTGCTTTTCACAGAGAGTGAAAGGAGGGGGGAATGGAAAGAGAGGGAGGAAAATATTGATGTGAGATACAACAATTGGTTGCCTCCCAAATGTGTAGAGACCAGGGGAGTGGGGAGTGAACTAGCAACCCAGGTACATGCCCTTGACCAAGAATTGAACCTAAGACCCTTGTGCGTGACCGATGCTCTAACCACTGAACACACCAGCCAGGGAAAGATTTCCTTCTTTTTTTACAGCCAAGTAATATTCCATTGTGTAATGTGCCACAGCTATTTTTCCACTCATCCATGGATGGTCACTTGGGCTGCTTCCAAATCTTAGCTATTGTAAATAATGCTGCAATGAACACAGGGGTGCATATATTCTTTTGAATTAGTGTTTCAGGTTCCTTCAGATATGTTCTCAGAAGTGGAACCACTGGGTCATAAGACAGTTTTATTTTTTGAGGAAACTCCCTACTGTATCTACAGTGGCAGCACCAATTGGCATTCCCACCAACAAACAAAATAGAGACGGGCTAGCCCAGCCGTGGGCAAACTACGGCCCGCGGGCCAAATCCGGCCCGTTTGAAAAACTATTGAAAAAAAAGACCGTTCCCTTTTATGTAATGATGTTTACTTTGAATTTATATTAGTTCACACAAACCCTCCATCCATGCTTTTGTTCCGGCCCTCTGGTCCAGTTTAAGAACCCACTGTGGCCCTCGAGTCAAAAAGTTTGCCCACCCCTGGGTTAGGGTGTTTGTTGATTTATTAATGACAGCCATTTGACAGGTGTGAGGTGTTATCTCCAGTTTTTTATTTGCGTTTCTTGATGATTAGTGACATTGAACATCTTTTCATATGTCCATTGGCCATCTTATGCCCCCTTATTGGTGAATATGTTCTCCACAGTGGATTGTCTTTTTATTTCGTTGATGGCTTCCTTTGCTGTGCAAAACTTTTCAGTTTGATGTGGTCCCATTTGTTTTTTTTCTTTTGTTTCCTTTGCCCAAGGAGATACATCAGAAACAATATTGCTTTGTGAAATGTTTGAAATTTTACTGCATCCCCTACTTGGGGCTGAGCCCACAACCTGGGCATGTGCCCTGAGCTGGAATTGAACCAGTGACCTCCTGGTATATGGGACCACACTCAACAGAACCACACTGGCCAGGCTCAACTGTTACTATTTTATTTTTTTTAGTTTTTTTTTTTTTATTGCTTTTAGAGGAAGGGAGAGGGAGAGATAGAAACATCAATGATGAGAGATAATCATTGATTGGCTGCCTCCTGCACACGCCCAACTGGGGATTGAGCCTGTAATCCAGGCATGTGCCCTTGACTGGAATCAAACCTAGGACCCTTCAATCCACAGGCTGACGCTCTATCTACTGAGCCAAACTGGCTAGGGCACTGTTACTATTTTTTAAAGTAACATGCTGTTTTGAGTACTATGGCTTTGTAGTATACTTTGATATCAGGTAGTATGATTCCTCCAACTTTGTTCTTCTTTCTCAAGATTGCTGTTGCTATTTGGGTTCTTTTGTGGTTTCCTATTAAGTTTGTTTTAGTTCTGCGATATACACCATTGGTATCTTAATAGAAATTGTGTTGACTCTATAGATTGCTTTGGGTAGCCTAGATGTTTTAGTGATGTTCTAGTCATGAACATGGTATATGCTTCCACTTATCATTATCTTCTTCAGTTTTCCAAGTATATATAGGTCTTCTACATCCTTGGTTAAGTTTATTCCTAGGTGTTTCGGTGTTGTTGTTTTTTAATGTAATTATTAATGGGATTATTTTCTTACTGATAGTTCATTATCGGGGTATAAAAATGCAACCAATTTCTGGATAGTTATTTTGTATTCTGCTATTTTACTGAATTCATTTATCAGTTCTAGTAGTGTTTTGATGGAATCTTTATGGTTCTCTATACACAATATCATGTCATCTGTAAATAATATGTTTTACTTCTACCTTTCCAATTTGGATGCCTTTCCCCCTTCTTTTGTGATTTTGTTCCCTCTCCCCTTTTAATCTTTATTGTTGAAAGTATTACATAGGTCCTCCTTTTCTCCCCATTAACCTCTTCCAGCCGCTCCTGCCTTCTTCTTGTCTGATCACTGTAGCCAGGACTCCCAATATTATGTTGAATGAGATTGGTGAAAGCCAACATCCCTGTCTTGCTCCTGATCTTAGTTTTTGCCCATTGAGTATGATGTTGGCTCTGGGTTTGTCATCTATGGCCTTATTATGTTGAGGTGTGTTTCCTCTATTCCTACTTTGTCAAGAGTTTATATCATAAATGGGTGCAGCCATTATGGAAAACAGTATGGAGTTTCCCCCCAAAATTAAATATGAAGCTGCCATTTGACCCAACGATCCCACTTCTAGGAATATATCCTAAGAGACCCGAAACACTAATCAGAAAGAATGTATGCACGTCTATGTTCATAGCAGTGCAATTTACCATAGCTAAGATCTGGAAACAGCCCAAGTGCCCATCAGTGGGTGAGTGGATAAAAAAACTATGGTACGTTTACAAAATGGAATATTATGCAGCAGTAAAAAAGGAGCACTTACCCTTTGAGACAGCATGGAGGGACCTGGAGAGTATTATGTTAAGCAAAGTAAGCCAGTCAGAGAAAGACAAGTATCACATGATCTCACTTACATGTGGAATCTAATGAACAAAATAGATCCAGAGACATAGAAGGGAATAGACTGGAATCTCAGAGGGAAGGTGGGTGGGAAGAGATCAACCAAAGAACTTGTATGCACATGTCCATATCTCATGGACACCGACAATAGGGTGGTGAAGGCCTGGGGAAGGGGTGGAGGCAGGTTAGAAGAGGTTACTGGGTGGGAAAAGGGGACATATGTGATACTTTCAACAATGATTTTTTTTTTTAAATGTGTGCTGGATTTTATCAAATGCTTTTTCTGCATCTAATATGATCATGTAATTATTATCCTTCATTTTGTTTATGTGGTATATCATGTTTATTGACTTACAGGTAATTGTATGAGCCTTGTATCCCTGGAATAATTCTACTTGATCATGGTGTATGATCTTTTTTAATGTATTGCTGGATCTGGTTTGCTAATATTTTGTTGAGAATCTTAGCATCTATGTTAATCAGGGATATTCGCCTATAATTTTTTTTTTGTAGTGTCTTTATCTGGTTTTGGAATTAGGATAATGTTGGCCTCATAAAATGAGCTTGGGAGTCTTCCATCCTCTGGAATTTTTTGAATTAGTTTAAGAATTATAGGTCTTAGTTCTCCTTTGAATTTTGATAAAATTCACCTGTGAAGCCATCCGGTCTAGGACTTTTATTTGTTGGGAGTTTTTTTTATTACCTTTGATGGAATAGGCCCTGTGTTATCTTTTTAAAAATGTATTTTTATTGACTTCAGAGAAGGGGGAGGGAGAGACAGAAACATCAATAATGAGACAGGCCGAAACCAGTTTGGCTCAGTGGATAGTGCGTCAGCCTGCAAACTGAAGGGTCCCAGGTCCGATTCTGGCCAAGGGCATGTACCTGGGTTGCGGGCACATCCCCAGTGGGAGATGTGCAGGAGGCAGCTGATCGATGTTTCTCTCTCATCGATGTTTCTGACTCTCTCTCTCTCCCTTCATCTCTGTAAAAAATCAATAAAATATATTTAAAACAAAATGAGACAGAATCATTAATCGGCTGCCTCCTACATGCGCCCCACTGGGGATCCAGCTCATAACTTGGGCATGCGCCCTGATTGGGAATTGAACTGTGACTCCTAGTTCACAGGTCAATGCTCAACTACTGAGCCATGCCACCCAGACTACATAGGATAGGAAAAAGGGGACATATGTGATACTTAAGTGCATCACCTTATTTCTTTTTCAAGGTAATCCCATACTGGATACTATTATTATCCCTATTTTACAGATGCATAAACCTGCTTTGAGAAACAAACTGCCCAACTAGGTAGTGAGGTCTAAATGTGAGTATAGGCAGGGCTCTGAGGTGGCAGAGATGGAATATACAAAACAGTCAGGTCCTACTGGGATAGGAACCAGAGAGGAATTTTCCTGGTAAGAAATGAGCCAACAGGAGAAACAAAGAGTAAGGGTCAGGTGTGGGGGAGCTCAGGATAGGGAAGTGGTTTCCCTGGTCTGAGGCAGAACCCCCCAGCAAGTCAGCTTTGTCCTTTCCAAATTGAGAAGTTGTGGATTCTGGTGCCCTTCTGGTTCCCTGTTTTGTCTTGATTTTGGCATGTCATTCTCTCACCACTTATCCAACCCAGAAATGCAAAAGTAAAAAAAAAAAAAAATGCTTGGCATATATACTAAAATGGTATCTTTATAAAAAACACA